AGAGAGAGAGAGAGAGAGAGAGAGTGGTGAGTATTGCTATTTTATGGCTAGAAAACATGATTAGTTTATATTCCCATTGCAGGGTTGGATTCACCAATCACCTCTTCTCTCTCTGTTCTTACATTCTTCTAGAATATTATTATCTTCAAATTCTATATTTCTAGATTTGAACCATTTCCGAAGATCTAAGCATTGGGCTTCTGTAAATTCCAAGTTCAGTGATTCTGAGGTAAAAATAGTATGTTAATGTCGTCTCTCATTCTTTCTCTCTCTAATCTTACATATGTTCCTGTAATGAGTTCTTTCTTTTCATGCATTACCTGTGCTGTTTTACGCTCGGCTCTTCTCTCGCCCTCTTTGTCAACTGTTTGTGCATTTTGTGGTCTCTCTCTCTTTTCTAAAACTTGAATCCTTTTCACTCCATTGAAGCCGTGAGGACTGTGTTGATTACTTGCAATTTCAGCTTAATATGTACTAGTAATATTGAACAATTCTTTATTCCAAAAAAAATTTCACTTGGGATTTAAAAGTATTTCCTTCCCAAATTTTTTTTCACTTGCTATTAATATTGTGACCTAATGAAAGGCACTGCTTTCTCTGTTCTGGATATTAGTAGAAAAGTATCTATTTTGACTTGGTTTGCTATGTTCTCTTTCCTTTATTTCATTATTTCGAGCCTTGGTAGAAATACAGTTAGATTGTTCGATAGAAGTCCTTTATAGTGAGGAAATGGCGAATTCCTTTTATATATCTTCACCGATCGCCACATACATGCGGTTGCATGGAATTCAAAGCCAATTATCATACCTTTACATGTGGTTGCATGGAATTCAAAACCAATTGTCATGCCTTCTTTCATCATTTTTATTTGATAGCCTTGTTTTTTTAATAGCATTGAAAGGATACCAAGTATAAGGATCAGAACATTGTATAGGTGCAAGCTATGGATACAAGCTTCTTCCATATTTATTAGTATCCTTTTGCTTCATAATAAAATAAAAGGCAGTTATAATAATAAAGTGGATTTATTGAAGCTAAGTGTTTCCATATGGTAGATATTGACTTTATTATACTCATTAGTTATATTCCCCTAGCTCTTCAGATCAAAGCAGCCATTAGCAGTTCATGCCATCTTGTTGGTTATCCACATATTCTCATGTTTCAAGGATTGTTGGATCTGCATATTTTCTTCCCATAGATCTAATTCCTTGGTTTATATGTTTATGCTGGCACATTCAATCTCTTCCTTCTTTGTCATGAAGCTTTAGGCACTCTCTCCCCATTTTTCCTCTCTCTCTCTCTCTCACCCCATTTTTATCTACATATCATTCTTTGATATCCTTTTATATAAATGTAATTTTGTTTTGTTTGCTTGCTCTCATGCTTAGTTTTAGCTTTTTCTATTTAAATTGATTTATCTTTGTTACTCCTTTATGAGATCTCATATATCTTCAACATGTAATGATGGTTCAATATGCAATAGGAAATTATGAACAGATCGCCTTTTTTTTTCTGAAGATGTTAGACTGTTGTGAATAGATCGTTTTCAAGTCAAGAGAACCAAATATTAGATTTTTATGGAGTATGACAACCTAAGTTTTGAAAATCTTGTATGGAAATTACTTCAACAAGAATATCCTATGAGCAAGATTTGTCTCAAAAATAAGATTTTTAATAAGTATGATTTGTCTTGTGTAGGAAGAAAATACTTCAGTGGCAACTATTTTCTTTTGGCCTTTACCATGTACATAATGCGAACTTTCTTACCCCATAACTCTTATGCCTTCTAGGAGAGTTGGGGTGTGCTTTGGTCATTTAATCCCCTCTTACGAAAGATATTGTCAAGGATCATGTTGCATCATTTACAAGTTTCTTCATCATGGTTGATTTTCCATCTCATTTTTATTTTTCTAAGTCGTTGATTTGGCTAGGTAATATGGTGCTTAATTTGGTTCTTTTGTGGCTCATAACTTCAGATTGAGTTGCTATTGTGACAGGTATTGCAGTACAAGACATATATCTAGAGTTTCTTACAGTGCAAGATTGTTTACTATTTATTTGCGGTTTTATCAGGAGGACTTTGATTTTTTAGAATGTACAATACATGAAGAGGGTTTGTGATTTGCATGTGCAAGCCTTTGTCTTAGTCTTGATGAAGGAAATTTTCAGTATTTATTGTTAATACGTAAATTTTCGTTGTTAACTCCAATTCATAGTTGTAGTAACAGGGTAAAAGTTTGATGATAATAATATTGGTGATAATGATGATGTCTAAGTTCTGAGCATGAATATCATTGTTGCTCTGTATAATTTAATACATGTCATTATTTCGATTGGAAATTACAAATGTTGTACTTATCAAGTATGGCTTCTCATATTCTTGTAGGTGAAGAGATGACTAGTTCATAAACTAGCAACGCCATGTCCATTCTTGTCTAGCAACGCCATTTCCATTCATGTGAAGTCCTGCAATGCTGTGGCCGACAATGTATGATGTGCATTTCTCTAAGTAGAGACAATCCTGGTAGGCAGTACTAAAAATGCAAGAATGGAACTCACTGACATCACCACCATCAAACAACGAAATATTGATCAAGATGTTGGACGATCGACAAAGACAAATTGCACAAGGGGACTTGTTTTTTGTTGTCATCAACATCTCATGTTTATTTTATTTTATTTTTATTTTTTGTTTATGTTTGTTGGTGGCGGACTAGAAAAGTGGACCAAATTCTCATGTTTAATATTGTTCTGGGAAAAGCAATTTATAACAATGTGAAATGAACGACATTCCCAATGAAATGGACCCACAATGGCACATTGTCTTCTTCAATATACTGTTACCAGCTTAAATCATCTGGGAGATATGGTATGAGACAAGTAACAAATGGCAGTTTACCAGTGAGATGCTATCTCATTTTTCTCAATTCAATAAAATATGGAAACAAGGCGAATTATATTTTCCCATTCCATTCGAATTTCTACAAAGGATCTAATTGTTCTTCGGTTGCTTTTCTCTTCTTCATTATCTTCATTTTCGTCCTCTTTATTTTCCTCTATTATCCCTAAAAAGAAATGCGCATTATTGGTGAGTTGGGAGAAATAAAGAAGAAACAAGCAGCTAAAGACTTGCTGCTTAAAAAAAAAAAAAAAAAGACAGCTCAAAATTACACCAGTTCATGCATCAAACTCACATAATGAGTTATGTAGTCATGAATTTATGATGATGCTAAAACAGTAATTTGCTATGTCAGTCATTTTACGCTGCCATCTAGGGCGGTGCATAACAACCGCCATTAGAAAGTTCGTGATGGGAGGTACATATAGCTAATCAAGAAAGAATATTGTATGCGAACTTTAAAGACGGTGCATATACAATGCACTATGCAGTTACAATGTCGGTTAAAAAAGCCTATAAAATGCACGCTATGCCTATAAAATGCACGCTATGTACATGTGAAAAGTACCTTGAGAAAAATAAGAGAGTGAATGTTATAAAAAAGAGGTCTAAAGAACCTCAAATGAGAAGTATGGTCCTTTAAACCATATTATTTTACTGTAACTTATCATATCTTCTACTTCAAATGTAATAATACAACTTTTTTGTGAGTTAGTATTGTTTTTTCTTCATCCCTACTATCATTCTATGCTATTTCGATCAAATTATTATATCAACGCTTCTGCAAATTTCTAATATTTGCTATCAGAGCCTGATTACCCTTTTAATAAAAATAAATAAAAAAATTTTAGTCTCAATTTTAACATTTTACATCTTGCCTATTACTTCTATAACTAATCCAACACAATACCCAGAACTTCCTAGTCTTTTAACATATTATCAAACACAAGTACTTAGAATTTACTTACCATTCCAAGAGGTTATCAAACACAGAAACTATGAACTTCTTTAACTTACCAAGAGGTTATCAAACACATAAACCAAGAACTTCTTACAGTACCTTCTATCTTCCCAGCAAAGAGGAACTTCTAATTTACAGTTCATGAACTTGCTTCGAGTTATCAAACAGGCCCTTAGGTTGTTGCTGTAAATCCCATACTTACAATAAGAAAGGGCATCTAGAAAAACAAAAGAAAATGGAAGTCATCTAGTTATAATAGAGAATTTCTTAATATGTTTAAAAATTAAGACTGAACTCTAGCGTTTGATTGGCAATAGCACTTAATAAAATTTTCGTAACTTTAATGGTGGAAAGGGATTTCTGAATTAAGAAGAAGAGAGAACGTAATTGGAGGGAGAGGAAGGCACTCCTATGTTCTCTTGAAGGATTGAACCAATCGGATGAGATCCATCTATCTCTCTCTTAATGATAGCATAGCATATAAACAGATATAAATGATCACATGCTCACCCACACGAACACGCAAACGCACACACAAATATGCACAGAGGAAGAGTATACTTAGGTTGTAGTTGGTTTTCACACAATTCGCTTGCTTCTTTATAACATCCTTTGTTGATAAAGGATGTCTAAGGGCTGCTAGCAAACTAGTTGAAATGTAATTATTATGGTAATATACAAAATCATCATTATCATAGTTTTTTTCTTACTAATTGGGGTCGGCCATATGAATCCTGATCTGCTATTCTGTTCTATCAAGATCATACCCTCAGTGAGGCCATAAGTCCCCAATATCTTTTTTCACTACTTCCAACCATATCTTGCACTTTTTAAGCCTTCAATTTAAATTAACTCGCACCTCTTAATAGATGTTATATTGGATCTGCGCCACACATGGCGGCCAGCCCAACCTAAATCTACTTTCTCTCATCTAATCACCTAAATTTTTCCTAATGTATAATATACAAAACCATATTTATGTGGTGAGAGTTCGGGATCTAGGTGCTTATAACAAAAGATCATCAAAACTACACCTCGTTGCAATTAAGTTTCAAAAAAAAAAAAAAACGAGAAGACCTAGTTGAAATTGTGTTTCAGTGTGAATAAAAAAAATAAATTTTCTTGTTTTCCTTTAGACACTGAAAGCCATCTTGATCCTTCCTTTAGATGTTTGGAGATGAGGTATGACAGCACTAGGGTTAGGAAGGGGAGAAAATCATTAGACTGCATTTCGTGAGTCGGAAGCTTGTTCGGTGAGATTGTATGTGAGCCACCACTCTTCCATGCTCTAAACTGAGGTTTGCTTTTTGGATGTGAAAACATGCCATGCTGAGTACCTTGACATGTGAATTCTGTGGCATAGTGGATTCTCTATCAGTCTCTAATTTCTCTTGAAGGGAAGCTTGATATTTCAGATTAGTTTAGGTATGGTAGTGATTATTGTGACTTGTCTGGGATGTGTTTTTGAGTTTCTAGATAGGTTGTTTTGAGCGTCAGGAATATGCAGGAAGAACACCACAATGCATCGAATCGAAAACCTCTATCCAGCAGCCAGAGACCAAACCAACCTGATGTCTAGCAATCCTGATACCATTATTAGGTTACAAGCTACTCAGAATTATTATAGTGGGGCTCACCAATATTGGGTGGGTAGTTCTGAAAAGGATCCACGTGTAGTGCGTATATGCGTAAAACATCGAGTTTTAATCAGATGGTTTCATCATCGTCAAAGCCTTTTTCCCAACATGTTATAGGTTCAGGATTTATAATAAGTTTTGACAAAATTTTACGTTAGTTGTCTACGTAACACAACCCAACCCTTTTACCCAGGTATGAGATGGGTTAAGAGAAAATTTAAAGTCCTCACCCTTCTTATATTAGATGGTTTATGTTTGGTAACTCCTACCTTTCCTTTTTGTGCCTTTGATTTTCATGAGTCAGTTTAATATGAACATTGAAAGGGAGGCTCATATGATGCCAGCTTCACAGGATCAAAGGCCTTGTTTTCATAACGAATGGTGATCTACCACTTCCAAACTTTGTCCAAGACAAGGACAGAATAAGCCACCACTTTACCCCAAGAAAATTGCTTGTATTGAAAGCCTTCTCAGCCCTTAGGAAAGGGACTTCTCTTTTTAAGGGAGAGGGACCATAATCAAAAGGTGGAATCGCCCTTTAATTTTGTGGTTTGGAACTGTTCTAGGGTAGGGAAGAACAATTACTTCTTTGGGACAAAATCTCACTCTTTTTCTTCCTCATCTCTTGTTCTTTTCTTTTGCATGAGGCTGGGTATAGAAGTGTGAAACTTGTGCATGAAAGAAACAAAAGAAGGAAAGATACAGATTACAAAATGAAACCGTCCTCAGCCATGGTGGCCAAGTGCTGAAAAAGCCCATTCCATTCCTGGCTAAATTCCATGACGTGCACATACATTCAATCCTATAAACTTCCAAAGTATGCATCATCACTTGGGCATCTATGATCATTATCTGCTGGATGCAATATGTTGTTTTTATGAGGCATGATATCTGACCTTACCATTTAGTTTTTGAAAATGGCAATATTGTTGTCCATCTCTTTTTTCCTTTCCTTTTTTTTTTTTTTGTATGACTGTGTGCTTTTATGGTGAAGAGGGATTTAGAGTTTGATTTTGATGTTCATGAGTGGTAATTGTAGGTTTATTCCTTCGTTCTTGTGTATGTAAAAATGAGTTAACCATGCGGATAGAGAAACTTATCAAAATGCACCTAACTTTTCAACATTTTAACAGTTTAACTAGTTTATTCCAACTCTCAGTCAAGCGTAATTTGATGGTTATCTTGAAATTAATCTGAATGTGTTACAAGATGAATTATTGTTAAAACTTGAAATCCATTTTTTCTTCATGTCCATGCATCTTGATGTCGAGATGATCAATTTGAGGATATTTGGCCATCAAAACGACTTCTTCCAATGAAATTTTTGAGGTATGCTCTAATTTGATTAGTTAGAGTCTCGGCTATATAGAAACTTTTTTCATTATTATTAAATAGTTATTTTTTTGTTTATTTTGATAAATTTCCCTTTTTTTATATTGAAATTTATAAATCACTATGGCATAAAAGAGAAATTAATTATTTTTTGGGAAATGATTTTGTGAGAGCCTCCCACATCTATATGTGCAAGAATAAAAAAGATCACTATTAAATTTGGTACATCTCTTCTAAATTTGACACATCTCTAAAAATAAGTCAAATCCCACACCCATATGACAACTTTTTAAGATATATACGTCAAATTTAATGATATTCTTTGAGGTCTTGTAACAAGGTCTCGTGGGATCCTTACTTTTATTTCTTTAGCAACATTAGTTTACCTTTTACAAGAGGTGAACCCAATATCGTGGCCATGAGAGAAAACAATGGAGAGAGAGAGAGTGGTCATGGGCGTCGTAGGGTAAGTAATGCTGTGTGAATATCAATCTAGAGATCTGAGAGAGTGCATAAGTAGGTGTGTTTCTGGAAGAAATAAACATGAATCATATAAGCCATGACCCATGAGAGAGAGAGAGGGAGAGGAGAGAGAAACAAGAAAGGGAAAGTGACCCATGTTAGAGAGAGAAACTGATCCATGTTACGAGAGAAAGAGAAGAAAGAGAAACTGGCGCATGTTAGAGAGAGAAAGAGTGGAGAGAAACTGAGTCATGTTAAAAAGAGAGAGAGGAGAGAGAAACAAGAGAGAGAATGTGACCAATGTTAGAGAGAGAGAGAGAAAGAAAGGCTCTCTGAATCCATGCAACATATGACGTCCCATCAACGCCAGCTTCAAGAAGGTTCCCCACGGTTAAAACCCCATTTTCTCAGTCACGTGGTCCACTGCCATTGGTCCATTCAAAATCCCACCTGGAACGGCCACGTGTTCCACTAAACCAACCTCCCAGTAAACGGTAAAAACAGCCCGAAATTACGCCAACGCTCCCAAATTTGCCACGTGGACCAGTTCCCTAACCCCTCACATAACTCCCACGTTAAAATCCTAACCATGGTTAGCTTAACCCCAGGTGAACCACTCCTCCCCAGTATTTGTAGACCTGTGCTTTGTAACGGTAACTAAGAGCCATTAGACTCCATTTTTCTCCTCTAAATTTAGCTATGCTTCTTCCTCTTCTGAATTGGGACCTAACTTAGGCCTGTTTCTTCTTCTTCTCCTCATTCGGGTCCTCTAAATTTAGCTCTGTTTCGTATTTAGATACTCTTAAGCGGCTCAGTTTCTTGTTCTTCATATTTAGATCATCTTGAAGTAGGTCCTTTTGGGTCCTCTTTAATTTAACTCTAGCACTTGTTCTTGTTTTGATTTGGGTGCTTTAAACTTGGTTCTATTTCATATTCTTTTAATTTTGGTTCTTTTAAGTCTGCTCTGTTCTTCATCTCCTTGTTTGGGTCCTCTAAAGTTGGCTTCTTTTCTTCTTCCGATTTGGCTCCTCCGAACTTTCCGCTGTTCCTGATTTGGGTCGTCTGAATTTGATAGAGATTCTCTAAATATGGGGTTATCGAGCTTCCCAACTGCATCAGAAGGGGTCCTTCCTGTTCTACTCATGAATACATTCCTCTCCATAGCTTTGGTGAAAGACCTCCTCAGGTCTGTGCTCCAAGCAATGGGTCACCGCCCAAATCCTTCTCTAAATTTAGAGGAGGACTTAGCTGATGATCTAGTGGAGCCTCTTCCAGTTTGTTCCCGATTTGCAGAAGAAGTGAGAGAAAGCGTATCGGTCACTCTGTTTAAGTGCTTGCCTATGAATAGTGGATGCCCAGTTGAGTGCACTGTGTGCCTTTATAAGTTTGAAGAGGAGGAGGAGATCAGTAAGCTAAGATGCAACCATGTCTTTCATAGAGACTGTCTTGACAAATGGCTGGACCACTGGCATAGCACTTGCCCTCTGTGCAGAACTTCTGTCATCTCTGGAGAGTACTGGGATGCTTGAAGTTGAACTGTTGTGGGAAAGAATGGTGGAAATGACATATGAAGATAAAATAGAGAGGTGGATGAGGTTTGTGTAAATGAAGAGGACAATTTCTGAGAGTTGTTTGGAGATGGGTTTTGAGTGTGGGTGAGGGAGTGGTTTCAGTTAGAGAAACTAATGTGTGTGTGTGTGTGTGTGTGTGTGTGTGTGTGTGTGAGAGAGAGAGAGAGAGAGAGAGAGAGAGAGTCGTTAGGAGGTACGTAGAAGGTAAACTTCTAGTACTACTACTATAGTAAGTAGAAGTAACGTTACGTTACGAGGGTAGTAGTACGACTAA